CAGCGTTTCGAGGTGCACCACCTTGTGTACATCGCATTCCAAATGGCCGGGGTCACCAAGTATCGTTTCTTGTCAGATCTATGAGCCTGGTGTGCCAAACCAAACCAGATACTCGAAAAGATGGTGGTGATGCTATGAAAAGTACAGATTAGTTTAGACTGAGTTTGGATTATTTAGTGGAAAATTCCTTTGAAAAAGCAGTTCCTGCTTGCTTTCTTGTTTTTCTAGGATAATCTCTCGAAAATAATAAAAAAAATTTACAGAAATTATAGCTCTATTTATGAGCGTATTCAGATTTTTCTTCTCAAATAGTGAATTCCGAGGAATGAAAATTTACAAGATGATATAAACCACATCTAAGCCGACTGATAAATTGTAAACGGCAACGGCATAATCACCAAGACAACAAACACTTGAATGTAAAAAACCGGGTGGCCAATGGCTGTCATTGCCATGATTAAAGAAAGAGCATTGGAAATGGCGATAAGTTGACAGCGGGAAAGGAAGGGGTGGGGGAAGAAGAAAATTTGATGGTGCTAGCAAATGATGTAAGTGAAGAAAAGGTCGAACAACTGCTCAGTGTGCAACTAAGTACTGGAGTGAATCTAGGATGTGAGTAGTTAAAAAAGTCTTATGATTCACTTTTAAAGTGTTTCATATATTAAGCTATGTTTGATTGCAGTAGAGGTCAGTAAATTACGCTGATCAGCAGATTTGCTGCTCAAGTAACATCTAAATGAACTGTAGATGTCACTTGAACGACGGTATTTTGAATTAACTCGAGTTCCAATAAAAAGAAAACCATTCAGTCAAGGAGAGCAAACGTCTGCTGATATCTGGACATCTTTTCCATTTTTTCAACAGATTTTGTTTAGGAAAAACGCCGATCTAATCTTTGTACAAACTCGCAAGATATGCGGGGCTAGCGCTATTTCTAACTATGAAGGTCGGCAATTAAGTATAAAGACATTTTAGGAATTTGAAAAAATAAGCAAAGAACTCTAGCTCTGAACTCGAAAGATAAGTGAAGCCGAAACATTCAAAAACCTCGGTCGTATTCGCAGGGAGAGATTATGAGCAATGTTGTAGAAAGGAAGCACAAAATCTTATATACAGTATAGGATTCTCCATGTAAGTAAACAGAAAAAACTGGGCTTTACTTTATAGAATACCAGTGCGTCACCTCTGCTTCGCAGAGGCTCGCACTGGCCCTACTTTCTATATTCCTTACTCATTCCCGCATAATAATTATTAGGGTGATCCAAAAGTAATGGGGCACCTTGATTCTTTTTTTACATTCTTCAAGATTTCTTTCTGATTAGCTATGAATGCCCAGCATTTTTAACGCCTTTGTATAAAAGTGACCTTCGCAGGTTATCTTGACAGCACCTTGCAGCACCTCACCGACATTTCTTCGAGTGACGCTTCAAAGAAGTCAAAAAGACTTTTTTGAACGCCATCCGAATTTGGCCTGCTGCACCTGATAGTCCCTCGACATATGGCATACCATTCGAAAGAGCTTTCCAAGCTCTTTTTAATGACTACTTGAATATCCAAAAACTGCCCATTATTTTACACAAAAAAGGCACTTTATTCGAAAAAGCGCGGTGTTCGGCGCAGATTTTTAGACTAAAATTCATGTTTTGGACCACAATCTTTTGAAAATGAGAAAAGTGAAGTAGTTTGCATATGTATGGATAGAGCGTAAAAAGCACTATCAGAAAGCAACTGCTAAGTTTGGATTTATTTGATTACCTTGATGAAAGAATAAGTAATATGTCTCCTGATACCCAATGCTATATCTTCTGTTCTAAAGCCTTGGGACCATCGAGCTATTGTGGTTTTGGTGACAGTCCCTTCACCCATTAATGCGCACATATCTTTGGTAGGCTCACTTGTTTTACTGCGGCGCTGCTACTGAAAGTTCAAAATTACTTGAAGTGGTGAGCTTTAATTTTAAGCGCTTATAAAAATAACGCCACGTGACAGTGCCCAACTATAAACCTCGATCAGAAGGTTTTGTTATGTACTAACCTCTGCCAGAACTTGGACTTCCAATTAGCTTTTCTATTTGTAAAAACTGCATTTTTTCTCTAACTGCCCCATTACTTTTGGATCACCCTAATACATTGAAACTCACCGCGCTGTGTAGGCTATTACCAATGATTCGTATACAACTACTCATTCCTAGAGGTTTTTCGTGTGAGATCGGTATTTTCGCGTGGATGAAATCTTTCCCAGAAGAACAGATGCAAATTTGAATAGGTTTTAGAATTTTTATGGCTTCGTAGTCGCCATAAGAACAACAAACATCGTGTGCTACATCTCTGTGCAAAAATCTTCTCAAATGATCAAGTAAAATCTTGAAAAATTGACCGTTTGCACAGCCAATGCTTTTTAGCGCTGTTTTCGTAAATTAATAGACTTTTCATCACTTTTTTAGGCTTACGTCCATGGCTTGCACATTAACTTGTCGAATATATCCATAACTCTGCAAAAAGTAGTACTACGGACCTGAATTTGCTCGCCAGAAGCCAAGTGGATCCGTTTGACGCGCAATTTTCAACGGATCCACTAAACGGATCCGCTCATGCTTTTGTATAGTGAGCTTTCGTGTTGGTAGCGTGCGCTATGCAAAATTTGGGCTCAGGACGTTGGCTAGAACACGCTCTACGAATTTCGTAACGGACAGACACACACAGATAAAAAGACGTAAACATCCTTAGCCGCTTATTATAAGTCATGATAGTTGACTATTAGGAACTGGTCAATCACGTCGAGTGAAAAGCAAAGCAAATCCTGTCTGTAACCGCGGAGGCGTGCAAAAAAGTACAAAAACCTAATTGGTTTATTAATGTGCTGTTTATCAATGTGCTTTAGACTAGTTCAAAAAACTAGCCATGAGATATCTAGAAGAGAAAATTGGCCATTGGCTCTGAGTCGCCCATTCAGGGCGATAAAGAGCTTAAGGACAGTAGCTCGGGAAAAATTGCGAGTGGGGAATTTCCACAATTACATGGCCTTCTGGACTAGCTGAGTCAGGTCCTGCTTGTAAAGTCAGAAAGTGCTTTTGCGTTTTCCGACCTTGAAGATTGCTGGAGAGGCGGGGCAAGGAATTCCCGTCAACTGTATCGTATTGATTGCCTGGGCTGATTTGCCAATTGCCGCCAAAATAGGTGAAGTTACAGTATCCTGCATTCACTTGCTGGTTATGGCGGGAACCCCCGCCCCGCCTCTTCAGCAATCTGCAACGCCGGTAAACTTCAAAAACACACCTTTTTGACATTTCGAGCACAGCATCTAACCCAGCTGGTTCAAAGGCCATGTAGTTGTGAAAAGCCACCAGTCGCGATTTCCTCGAGCCACTGCGTTTAAGATGTTGGTGCCACATCAATCTCGAATAATGTTTAACGATGCCTTGATGATAGAGTAAACATAAACGAACTCAATGACAGCTAGTAGATGAGATGCGAAGGTGACATTGTGAGTGTTTATTTGGTAAATTGTGTTGCCAAAATATGATGAAAAAAGGTACATCAAATTTTTGGATTTCCCAAAAAAACTCTTGATTACAGGAAATTCAAAAGACCAATGCACAAAACCTGCGCAAGTTAGTATCGCTGCCTTCGTGGAGCATATCGCCCGCGTCATCGTGAATCTGCCCTCACCCGGTGCACAAGTCGCCCTATGCTCCGAAAAATCTGATGTCTTACTTTATCTTAGTTATTATTTATTTGATTCTACAGCTATACAAAGAATGTGCTTAGAACATCATAGGATTTTCCGCGCTTCGAAATTCAAATTCTGAGGCTTACGTTTATCCATTTATAAAACTCAGGCTTTTTCGTCTGTATCAGCGGTTACCAAAATACTAGAGGGCCACCTGGTTGGTCGAAATAAGTTATCAAAATTAAGAATTATTGTTCGCTGGTTAAATGCTTGAAACTTTTCATTTTTCGATGCTGAGTTGTACAAAGATGTTAAGATTCAAAAATTGCAATTATTGAAAAAGCAATGACTTTACAGCAGCCACAGGTCGTTCAAATTCTATGTTTCTGGCTAAAATCGATGAAACTGGATACCTGTGGCTGCTGCCAATATTTTTACATGCACGAGGAACTAGGAATTTCAAAAAAATTCGATATGGCAGACTGCAGTGATATAGAGAATGGCCTTATAGCTATAACCGACGCTGAAGAAAACTTCACCAAAGTCTACAATACGACCATGTTTAGCAATAGTGGAAGTGAATGAGAGGTTATGCACAGTTCACAAGATCATTTTAGATGTCATGGCATTGCCTATTTCGTATGATTATGCAACCCTGAACGACAACTGTAACACCAAATTGCATAGGGTAAGATTGAAGGTCAGATCACACTGACATCGCAGATTTACTTCTGAAAGGTGTAAGTCCTAGCTACAGTTAGTTCCACACACCACAAACCTCGCTATCAAAACAAGCTGGGCAAGCTACGTTTGTTGCGAGATTTTACATCCATCGCTGAAGTTACTCCGTCGAATTGTTATCAAGTCGGCTATAATCAAGCCACAGTCACTACCTCAATAACACTGTAGTGCGTTTAACAAAAGGAAGTATCACATACTTTCTGTTCAACTGGGAGTGACAGGCAATGTATAATGCTCTGACTTTCATCTCTTTGGCGAGCGTGCGCTCTAATCTTGTGCTTAATTAGCAATCGAAACACCCCTCTCCCCCACCAGTCACTAACTGTTAAACAAAGGTGAGACCTGTTGTACAGAATTCTAACATTTCAGGGCTCAAATGATAATTTTGTGATTGTGTTGTCGTGGACTTCTTAACCAACGCGAAATACAGCTGTTCACGATGGATATGCGCCACCGTATGAGCCGTTAATTTTCAAAAGAGAATTTGCGATTTGTGTTGTTGGCGTGTTTGTGAGTCTAGCTAAGCAATGAAACGGAAACAGTTCACGCAACAAGAGTTTATTCCATTAAAGAAGGAATGGAATGATGAATTAAAAAGGGACTTTACCCCTTAAATCTATTGACTTCAAACCATCACACGCGCGACACTTATCAAACCATTGATAACGGTGAACCCCCGATTCCTTCTGCTCATTCACGCATTTGATGCACTGTAAAAAAATTGACTGTAGCAGCATTCTATAATGTTTAGTCATACCTCGTCAACCTTGATAGAATGATCTATAGAGTTAGGATCGGAATCCACAACTTGGCTCACGGCGTTAGGTTCAGATTCTTCTTGTTCGCTGACATACTCTTCTTCCTCCTCGGGAAGAATCTCTTCATGTGCCCTTTCACCGTCAGATTCTGCGCTGCTGCTTATGCTGCTTAGTTCTGATTCTTGACTGACAGAGTCGCTGCTGTCGCCATACGCAGCTACCAAAAGCACAAGCAACAATAGCTTTTGAAAGAGCATATTGTTTGTAGACGATTCTGCAACATTCTATTGTACAGAAAGCATACTGATGGGATTCAAAGCATCAGCACACCAATACATTCAAACATCAAGGAAACAACTTTTTCCAGCAGATATACCAAATATATTTGTGAGCAGGTTGCTGAGTAGATTGATACTTTTGAGTTCGCAGCAAGATTTAGCACGAATTTACGAGAGATTGGGTAATGATAAACTGCTGTTGTTTATGCACCTCATCGTAAATTTGAAGAGGATTTTAAAGAGGTCGAAAGCTGCTATATTTAGTTGAAAGTGATCGCGCATAATGTTGGCAAAAGCAGATGCTATCCTGCTCAGATCAAATCTTCTAGTATCAATATAAAAATTGCATTATCTCAAAGATGGTATGGGTTTTTATGTGTGTTCCAAATGCTTTGTCTGTTGTGCTTGGTTCTACCATCTGGTTTGGAATGCGATTTTAACACTGTTTTTTCTTCGTGAATCCAAAGTTTTTGATTACACGACATTTGCAGAGACATTTCGCAAAAATTTTATAAGCTATTGTTTCGGAAGAGCCGCAAGTTTAAGAAAATTTGTAATTGCAATAGCGATGATGTGACACACAACAGTAGTGTCAAAACATGAGCTAAAAATTCCGGAACTAGCTGCTTTTTGGTCATATGTAGTTTTTCTGGCTCGTTAACTTAACTGGAATCAAACGTCTTGAAATCACGTTGCACGTTTAGAGAAACCCAGGCCTCACAATTTCAGAGGCACATTATAGGTTGATGGAGCTGGAATGGGTGGTGAGTTGCACTGCTTCTCTTGAATCAGGAGCTTTTATCAGAGTCTTGCATAACAGGCAGTACTTCTGCAAAAAAACGGAAGAAATCGCACAACTACTATTCAAGTTGTATTTTTCAGAATGAAAAGGATTGTTGGAAAAGTTTTGTGCAATTAATTGTGACAATATTTTCGAACGAGAAAAATTGCGACATTCAAGCGCTTACGATCAAGCGCATTGTAAGCTACAAACAAATCGTGTTAGTTCGTTGTAGTAAAACTGATTTCTTTCTTGATTGTTCTAGAAAAAAAAGTGAGGAACAAGAAAGAAAAATTCAATTGACAAGGATTGCTAAATTCTAAGTGGACTGGTATCGGATGCTAATGACTGGTCTGCCTGCTTCACTAATTTATATACCTCTCCAAGTGTGCACAGATGGAAAATGTGAACTATCCCATATGCGTACTTTCGATCTCACATTACCGACAACCGCGCTAACATGAGCTAGTGCTCTTTACATACATGTTTGTTTGTCAAATTCCACCACCGAAAATATTATGGAAATACGTGAAAACAAATAGAACGTTTATATGAGTAAAGCACAAGTGCAATTTCTCCTATGCACTACTATCACCTGCTGCAGGACTCGAATGAGATTAAAGTAGATCACGTGAAGATTCCTCCTAAATCGAGCTGTATGTCCGTGTACAGAACTAGTAGGAAGTAGAACTGTTCATCGCACTCAGTCACTTCTGCGTTACCATCTCTCTGAAATTCATTTTGAGGGCAAAACTCCCTTGCACCCTACACATTCACTTTCCCACTTTTGTCAAAATAGTTTGACAAATGCAACTACTAGATAGTATACAGGTATTTCTACATTATGGCTTACAACAACTGCTAGCAGGATACCTAAAGTATCGCCAACTAGCCAATAAGGTTAAGCATCAAAAAATGGATTTTTGTAAATAAAATGCACTAATTATAATTAGGTTGATGCAAGACTGATTTATACTCCTCATCCGAAGCGGCAGAAAAGACATAAAAATGATCAAAATAATTGTTCTCTAGAGTAGAGCAAGCTCTACAAGATAGTGAACAGCAGCAAAAGGCTTGACCTGCGTGAAAAATGCGGAAAAAATTCTATAATATATCAAATACCCAAAGATCACAATTTCATCTCAAAAGATCCTAATTTGTTCAAGCAACTGTATACATGGAATAATATCATAAAGTTGACGTATGTTTTTCTTAATTGCATGACGCCTTTTTCGTGTGTTTAATGTGAAATTCGATATCTTCGTATATATAAAGCTGAATGTGCGTTTGTATGTATGTACTGTACATACATTCCATTTTTCATCCAACCGATACTAAGAGTGAATCTTTATGCGCACGGTAATAAAAGGTTTTTTGAATTTACTTGCAATATCCACATGCCCTCCACCCAGATTTTGAGTACTTTTTTCATCTATATACAATGACCGCCAAAAAGTTGCGGACAAGCCTCCCTCCCTTTTTCATCGCTCTTTTTCAGAAGGAAAACAAGGATGAAAAAATATAATAATTACATGAGGTGATAGAGCTCTTCAAGATTTACAATCTACACTTTAAGTTTTTCGAGAAACATGTGTTTTAAAAATGTTAAGAATTTTTTTCTAAAAGAAGTTCGAAAATGGCCGCGTCACAATGTCGCGGACAATAATTCTTCGAACGCAAAAATTTTCTTTTAAGTCCTATTTTGAAGCGGAAACACAAGTTATCCGGACGGGTAAGCATACTACTATACAGAGCTCGTCAAAAACTACACACTGGTTATGGTTGCTTCCCCAAAAAATGCAAGCTTGAGTTTTATTCTAGTTTTTTTCAAAAAACAATTTCTAATTTCCTTTATCAAGCCAAATTTCTTTACACGGAGATATCCCAAAGCCGTTTGGATAAAATAGATGCTCTTTGCCATCCTCTATGCATCGGACGTATGCTGATGAGTTTCTTGGCTGAAAATGGCCCTTGGCAGTGCTTGCACATGACCCCACCTGCACCTCACCACTAACTTGTACCGCTTTGCAGGCTTGTAACTCGGCCTGCAGTCAATATTTGAGCCTGCAATTAGGCTCATTCGAAAGAACGAGACTTCCTCTACACGATGGTATGCAAATAACTTCAGTTTGAGCAATCCCAGAGATTTGACGGATGGGATGGTAGAGGGCAGCTTCACTTGTAGTCTAAGCACTTTTCAGCTAAAGTTGAAGAGAGCTCCTTTCGCTACCAATTTCATCCTGGAAGTTCAAAACTGTCAATTTTCTTGTAATAGATCCATTTCGAAGTTCTAAGACTGTTCTGGTGTTCATAAGAGCTTTCACTCCAATCACCTCTAAGGCTGCCCTTTACCACCCCATCCGCCAAATCTCTGGGATTGCTCAAATTGAACTTATTTGCATACCATCGTGTAGAGGAAGTCTCGTTCCTTCGAATGAGCCTAATCGCAGGCTCAAATATTGACTGCAGGCCAAGCTACAAGCCTGCAAAGCGGTACATGTCAGTGGTGAGGTGCAGGTGGGGTCATGTGCAAGCATTGTCAAGGGCCATTTTCAGCCAAGAAACTCATCAGCACACGTCCGATGCATAGAGGATGGCAAAGAGTATCTATTTTATCCATACGGCTTTGTTGAGATATCTTGAACAGGTTTCCGTGTGAAGAAATTTGGCTTGATAAAGGAAATTAGAAATTGTTTTTTGAAAAAAACTAGAATAAAACTCAAGCTTGCATTTTTTGGGGAAGCAACGGTAACCAGTGTGTAGTTTTTGACGAGCTCTGTATAGTAGTATGCTTACCCGTCCGGATAACTTGTGTTTCCGCTTCAAAATAGGACTTAAAAGAAAATTTTTGCGTTCGAAGAATTATTGTCCGCGACATTGTGACGCGGCAATTTTCGGACTTTTTTTTAGAAAAAGATTCTTGACATTTTTAGAACACATGTTACTCGAAAAACTCAAAGTGTAGATTGTAAACCTTGAAGAGCTCTATCACCTCATGTAATTATTACATTTTTTCATCCTTGTTTTCCTTCTGAAAAAGAGCGATGAAAAAGGGAGGGAGGCTTGTCCGCAACTTTTTGGCGGTCACTGTATGTCTGTCTATACGTATGTGCGGAATAGAAATTTTTATTTCTGAACCGATTTGGACTAAACTTGGCATACATACATTGGGGGGGGGGTGTCATAGGCTACTTTTCGTTAACGATCGATATCGATTTTATCGATTTTTATCGATTTTTTGCGGAGTTCACCTATGGGGCTGGGAATTGGCACAGGGGGTAAGTGGACATGGCAATTCCGAATACAACATTAGTTTTCGGAATTATCGATTACTCTTATCGAGTTTATCAATTTTTTTGCAAAGTTTGAGCTACGGGCTGGGAGATGGCACAGGGGGGTAATCGAGCATGCTGACTTTGAAAACAACACAGGAAACGGGAAATGAAGTGTAGAAGTGGGCACTGGGAAAGGCTATAAGGGATAGGGATGGGACCTTTATTACAGTGTTTTGACAGGGCCGAGCGGAGCCGGGTAAGCAAGCTAATTTCTACATATAACTCTCGAATAAGACTGAAAATTTGTTGTTGAATTTCCGAGAGCCCGAGTCGGAATTATCTACGTTGGGGCAATCCAACATTGATTTTGCTATACGGCGAATTTATTTCCCCAACTTCTGGCCATAGAAAAAATACAGCAAGTGGGCATATGCATAGCTGATGCGACAAGTGATTTTTGGAAGCTTGTTGGGTGCAGGATTGTTTTATACAGAGATCCGTATTTTGGGCATTTAAAAATTTCTTAGAATTTTCTTCCCAACTACTGTATCAAATTCATAAATTTGTTAGAACACTATTTTGTAGAGCTTGCTTTGCTTTATCGAATAAGTTCCACGGAATTTTATGTTCAATTCTTAATAATGTTGATCAATTTAGCATGGAAAAGGTATCTTATAAACTTTGACCTTAGCACTGAAAAATTCTATATTGAAATTACAGCATGCAAAGTAGGCCTCCAGTCTCTTGAACACAGTGTGTTTCGCAATATTTTGATAAATTTTCATATAATGCAATTTAATCTCATTCGAGTCGGGCAGCGGTCTCTCCAAGTATGCACAGATGGAAAATGTGAACTATTCCATACACGTGCGCTTGATACACTATCAACAATCTCGCTGGTATTGCCTAGTGCTCGTCACCTT